ATTAGTAAAATTGCAAAATTTGGTTGCGAAATGTTGTAAAATGCAGAAAATATAGCCTTGCGAAGTTTGCATATTTTCAGTATATTTGTATTACGTGCGGAAATTGTTACCATTTTTGAGCCGAAAATGGTAACAATTTCCGCTCATAATACAAATATACTGAAAATATGCAAACTTTGCAAGGCTATATTTTCCAAGCTTTACAACATTTCGCAGCCAAATTTTGCATTTTTACTAATTTCAGTATGTTCTTTTTAGCTGTTGTGTTTGATTCCCTTTTCTATGCTTAGATTAAAATTTAGTCTAACATGCAAGTTGTCCATTAATCGTGATATTTTCTCATAAACTTTACCAAGGCATCACCTTAGTTAGTACCCTGTATATACAGTATATACATGAACTTGTGGGTTTGAGGAGGGCATGTCTCCGCCTCCTATGCTCCTGACCTCAACAACTAGCCTTGAGCTCTGTAGCTCAATTGGTTATAGCACTGCACCAAATTTGCAGGGTTGCATGTTTTTGATTCCTGCCAGAGAGCCTGTATAAAATTTAGACTCGAACTTTCTATCAAAAACCCCTTTAACATTAGTTCAGTCAAGTGAGATGCCCAAAATTCCAGATATGTGGGTGTGTTGGTCTGTTCTGGAATCACCCATTTTAGTCAGTCTTAAATAAGTGTGATTTAATTTTGTGATCCCTAGATCCCTTGAACATCCACTTATTTTGTTTTGAAAATCAACTTTCAGTTCTGCACATCTTGAAACAACAAAACTGGAAAATCACTTTTAATAAATGATGTTTTTTCTTTATTAACTTAATTAAATAACATTGAATAATTACAATTTGCAAGAAGTGTTTGTTAAAATTTTCAACTCACCTGAACTCTATAAGTCCTAAGAGGAGGGCCCTGCAGCGGAACTGTTGCAGTAATAAAATAAATTATGGCAAATACATATTCAAAATAAATGTGATGTATATAAGAATGTTATGTTACAGGGACACACTGTCTGATTATTTTCATGTGTACTGAGGCAGCAACCTTTTTCATGCAAATTATATTTTATCAATTTTAAATTTGTGTACATGTACCTATGGCTATGGTCTGTGCAAATTTGAATACCTCATTAATTAAATTTTGGACCACCCCTCATCGCTGGCATCACAATTTTTGTTCAGGGGACTGTCTAATATTTGACATCCTCTGAACTCGACTACAAGTGCCGGCTCATTCAATTTATAAAGTTATTACCCCTGTGCTACTTCCTAGCATATCTTGGCCTTCTTTTCCGTTGTATAAACGGCGAAATACGTCTCGACATATCAAGATTTGTACAATTTTCACACTCTAAGACTCGCTGTGGAACCTCGGGGATGGATCTCCGCTTAAATTTCGCTCGAACATCTACATTTCGCGAATCATTTTTCATTCGTATTTGTCCTATGTGGAATGCGTTACCTCTTGATATACGTACTTCAGAGCGCACATCAGTTTTTAAGACCCGATTGAAAAAGTTACTCTTTGCTCGCCTTCAGTCCACATTCGACTCGGAAAACGTACGTGGCCGCATATAATCTGTCCCATTTGCAGAAGCCCTAATGTGGACGCAGCTTGTAGCTGCTGACTTAACATTTTAAAAATTTACGTCAAGTAACTGTTTGTACATTATTTTGTCTGTTATATATGTTGTAATCTGGAGTCAAGCCTTGTAAGGGACAACGTGTCCTATTGCTTGTTGTCTTTTGTTGCAAATGTCTTAAAATAAAAAAAAATTGCCCCCTCTGACTGTCGTCTCAGCAGGCATGTCTCTGCATGTCAACTGCAATCTATGTATCCAAGTTTTAAGTATCAATCTGCCAGGCTATTTATATTTTTTTCGGTTTGGTAAAGCCTGGTTCACATATACGACAACTTACTCAGTAACAGTATATATAATGTAAAATATTTCTCTTAACACACGAGATGACATTGTTATTGTATGGATCGGGACGAAGTAGATTCTGTGATTGTCTAGCAGACGGAATCTTTGTTTGCATGTGTTAAAGATTACAGATTTTGTTAAAAAGATTTGCAACAATAAAGGAAAAAAAATTAATATTCAAATTAATGAGATAAAACGGTCTGCCATAATGTCCGTGCAGAGTAATTAGTGGACAGCCATATCAGCATTTTGCTCGGCTAATGGCCGGTGGCTGACCGTTATATTGATCCCTGATTATACGTCAATATTATGATCTGGTACTTCTTTGTTTTCAACCTAGTACGTATATAGGTACGCGGTTACGCCGTACGCAGAATCGTTGCTATCCGCGTACTTACATTTCCCCAGTACCATATGACGTTTCCATGCTCAATGTATTCAAAACCGTAACTTAGTCTGTATTACGAAAGTCACCGAACTGTGGAATCGCATCAAAAATTCGTATATCGATCACTCCCACAAACGTCTACGACCACGCCTACATTCGACTACATAGTTTTGCATGTTTACAATTCTAATTTTGAACAGCCAATCAGGTTCTTGGTAATTGGCTGTTTAAAATTAGAATTGTAAACGTGCAAAATTATGTAGGCGCGGTCGTAGACGTTTGTGGGAGTGGTCGATATACGAATTTTTGATGCGATTCCACAGTTCGGTGACTTTCGTAATATATGCATGCGTAAGTATGACATGTCTTGGATGAAACATGATTGGGCTGATGGGACTAAAGAATGTAGTGTTTGTATATGCAATAGGCAATTTCAGCTTTTAGTTTATGCCTGCAGGGAATGATGGGAAGTAAGGTATCATATTGCTGATTATGCCGAAAAATGTCAATAAAAACTACCGAAACAACCGAAATATTTCAATATTTACAAGTATAAGCTATCACTCTGTGTTTACACGACCACCATTTTTATTTTTTCAGCATAATTAGCAATATGATACCTTACTTCCCATCGTCCCCTGCACGCATAAACTAAAAGCTGGAATTGCCTATTGTGCTCCCTGATCTAACTTGTAGATTAAATACCTTTCAGAAACCTCCACTTTATGTACTGTATTTTAAAGACTAATGACTGTATAGGTACACATTGAGTCTTAAGTTTGTACTTGCGCAAGTACGCGGCAATAATCATTGGCTTACCAGTTATAGGTACTACTAAAAATCTTGATTTATTGCGCCCTGAATATAAGGATTTTAATTAAGAAACATCTGAACCTGAACTTATTGTCCATTGTGCACTGTATGGAAGTATCTTTTGTATAGAATTTCCCTTAGTAGGGATTCCACTGTGTGTCAGTCAGGTTACAGTAAGACCCCGCGTATAAGAACCTAGATTTTTCAAGTTAGCCTAAACAGGTTCTTATTGTTCTTATATAAATGGTGCTTATCATGAAATATTAGGCTAAACAGGTTCTTATTTTCTAAAGAAAAAGCGACTCAATTTCGGTTGGTGTAGGTACAGTTATTTTTTGTTGATGTATTCAAACAGACATACTGTTTATTTTTCATAACATATCCAGGACTCTGATTTCTGGGTCATTTTCATTACTTTGTGAAGAGTTTATTTTCTTTGATTTATAAATTTTTAGTTTCAACTCTTAGAATGATAAAAATAAAATAAGAACCTGTTTGAAATTTTAGCCTAAACAGGTTCTTATATAAAGGGGGTCTAAATAAGCAACTTTGACCTAACAGGTTCTTAAAATCTGGGTTCTTAACTTCTTATACGCGGGGCCTTACTCTACTCAGACGTGACCATGCAGTCAGGGTTGTTTTCAGGGATTTTTTAGGGCCGTTAAACGGCCCCAAAAACTCAATCTTGAATTGAGTTTTGAAACTCAATCTTCTCACCAAAGTTTCAGTGCAGTAAAAATGAAGTTGTTTGAGTTAAATTCGTGACGTGTGGAAATTAGTTAGTTGGAAACCCGACAATTAAGAAAAATGGCTGGAATTCATCTCACAACACAAGAAAAACTATGCATTTGCCATCTTTAACCAGTTTATAGTGTCCCTTAGTGCCCCTGCTTTAACACATTCCGTCTCAACTACATTTATTGAGTACAGGTGTCAGCCCCTCGGTAGGGGAGGAGGTGCAGCCACCCCAGCTCTTCAGCTAAACTCAATTTTCTCTGCAAAAACGGACCCAAGAGAAAATTCTGAAAAAACCCTGGCAGTATAATTTGAAAACGCCCACATAGTGTATATGTTGTGTATAACAGCCGATGTAATGTCTGCAAACATTTTGGTTTTGTAGTAAGGTATCTCATCTAAAGTTAAGAAGTCAGAAACTGCAAGATGGCATCTGGTGGCTCACCATATGATGATTATAAAGCGAGGAATTCTGATTATAAGCCAAAAAGCAATAGAAAACCACCACGATATGGCACGAGTTTTGAAGCGGAACTGAGTCTGAATTCTGAAATACAAAGGAGTGAAAATGAAGAGCGAAGGTCATTACCAAACAATCTGGTACGCGTGTCTCTTCTTTAAATTCTTTGCTTATTTTCAGTAAATACTTATTCACATAAATGATGTTGTGTTATTTGGCCTGTTATTTGACAAGCATCGCTAGAATAGTTGCTTTTGGGTGCATGTTTCAGAAGTGGAGTTTCTAGGAAGCGGATTACACATACATGCATATACTGTACCAGGCCTCGAATTTCCCTGAAATCAATCGACGGCAATGGCGTTAAAAATTGCCGTAGAACGTAACAGCTATCTACGGCAATTTTGGCATTTTCCACGGATTTTTTTAAAATTACTGTAATAAAAATCAGTTTAATTTTATTGTTACTTTGGATTTTTAAAAAAACTAGAAACATGTTTACGTATTTCTTCACGTATTTTTTTCGAAGAAAACTGAGGCTAAAATAGTAATTTACTCAAATTTTGTATCAAAATAGTAATGCACAGTGAATAGTATAAAAAATTATACTATACGGCAAAAATTTCCGTCGTTGCCGCAATGATCCACGGCATTTTGTTCTCCCTCTACCGCAATTACCGCGATAAAATTCAAGCCCTGTACTGTACTGTACATATATAGTATTTAACAAAGAGGTCATTCGTCTAAATTATGTAATGTATTTTCAAAATGAGAGTATATTTAGACCAAAACTTGAATTTTCCACTTAAGCAATCTAAGTGCAAAACAATTGCAGGAATTGGTTTGTTTCTCTAGTTAAACTTCAGATAATCAATTGAAATCTGTGCTTGATATTTATTCAACTTAGACACACTCAATAGGATTAGGTACAGTAGGGGCCTGTCAATGCCATTGTCTGGAAATGCCATTTCAGAGGGTTTGAATTTCAGAGGCTTTAAATTTCAGAATCGCGCGCATATATATAATTTGAGTGTGACGTCCTGCAAATGTTCTTTTCTTTCCTAAAAGTCTTGGACAGGTGGTGAAGGTTCAAGGGGGAAAAAACAATCTAAAACTAAAGGATCGCCAGGTGATCAGTTTTCCTCAGATGGTTCTCCAACAAGATTTACACGAAAGAAACACACTCCAGCAACACTTCCAAGAACGAAATTCTCTTCATCTGCATCTGGAGCAGCTCAGCACCGTGCTATGCATAAACTCAAACAACAGCTTACGTTTACTAGTGAAGACGAGGTAACATTGTGGTGCATAAATCTTTCCTGTTAGCAGTTTACGGTGGCGCCTCATTAAGATTAAGCAGCGGTCACAATGAAATTATACATACGTCAAGCTTTTGCGTACGTGTCTGATAACTCAATAGCTTTCCTAAACTTTCACTTATATTTATGTTTTTTTTATTTCGGGAACACTGGCGAAACCGGTCTATAAATATAAATAATTTACACTTATGATGTGACACCAAGACCGCTGTTGTTTTTCGAGCCGAGTCTTAAATTTGCTATAAAAGCCTTAGTTAAACTTGGTATTATTACATTTTTTGCTATTATTACATTTTTTGCTATTTGGCCTTTGGGCTTTGTTATTTTTCCATCGGAAGAATAAAATATTGTAATTTTGCCCATGGCTAATGGCATTTTTTGTGGGAAACATCCCAATATCGCCTCTTATAGACCTTTTAATAAAAACGAATATCGGCACTTGTCTTACTCTAATTAATTCATGACGAATTTTAGACGCAACGTAGTGAAGAGCAACGGTCGAGACAAGCACCTCCAGTTGACATCCCTGTGAATAATGAAAGAAATCTTCATCAACAATCTCCATCATCACGAGGAACACCATTGAGAAATCAAGAGAATGGCACTGGAGTAAATCCCTTACAACTTCCTAATGCCACAAATTCGTCTAATCCAGTAAGCACTTAATTATTGTATACTGAATGCCTTATTTGATACGCTATACATTCTTTGCTATAGATTAAACATCCGGGTTTGATTAATCCAAAGTGATCAGGGGTGGAAAAAGTAACAGACTACTTGACCATTAGTCCCAGAAAATTTTCTGAGTTCCCAGAAAATATTTCCCCAAGAAAGAAAAAAATTGTAACAATTCAGATAAAAGGAGAAATTCAGAGGAAAATTCACACCATGACCTCAGAAATGCTGTCTGTGAATTATAAGTGCAACCATCTTAATAATTAACAAACGCTGAAGTGATGGCTGTGTTGAGAAATTTGGATAACAACAAAGCTCACGGCCCCGATGGAGTTCCTGCGCGACTACTGACAGAAACTGCGTTCCAGATCGCTCCTTCACTTTGCGCACTCTTCAACAAATCATTACGCTGTGGCATTCTTCCTGATGATTGGAAATTAGCTAATGTCGTACCTGTGCATAAGCGAGGTGAGAAATCCTGCGTAGAGAACTATCGACCAATGTCATTGCTTTCACTTATCTCTAAAGTACTCGAACATTGCGTCTTTAATAACATCAAACATCAAGTATTCCAACAAATCAACCCTTGTCAACACGGATTTGTGCCAGGAAAATCGTGCGTAACGCAACTTATTGAAGTATTTGAACAGATAGGGCGCAAATTGGACAATGGTGAACAAATAGACGTGATTTACTTAGATATGTCGAAGGCATTCGATAAAGTAAGTCATACTAAGCTTCTTCATCGACTACGCGAATTTGGGTTTCGAGGAAACATCCTGAACTGGTTCTCATCGTATCTCAGTAATCGTCGTCAGCAAACAACGGTTCATGGGGCAACATGAAGACCTTTAGCCGTAACATCCGGAGTGCCGCAAGGTTCGATACTTGGCCCATTGTTGTTCCTATTGTACGAAAACCACCTCCCCAACACCGTGAACAATTCAACTATCGCCACCTTTGCGGATGATACGAAGATATTCAGAACCATAAGCTCCACATCCGATGCATCCTCGCTACAGGAAGACCTTACGAACTTTGAAGTGTGCTCCAGCAATGTCAACCTGGAACTTAACGCTGAAAAGTGCAAAATTCTAAGAATTACCCGAAAGCAGAAGAAGATAGAATACCCTTACAAGCTTCATAACAATGTCTTAGAAAGCACCGAGTTTGAACGCGATTTGGGAGTGTGGACTACATCTAACCTTACCTGGTCAAAACATGTTGAATGTCAATGCACACAAGCAAGTAAGATGTTAGGATATATAAGAAGATCAACACTTGACATAAAAACGTTCGTCGCACCCTATATTTGTCCCTTGTCCGTTCCCAACTATGCTATGGCTCTCACGTCTGGGCTCCCCAATCAGTCAACTTGATCAAGCGCACGGAAAGAGTACAAAGGCGAGCAACCAAGTACATTCTGGATCTTCCTTTCTTCTGTGAGGTCAGTTACAACCAGAGACTTGATATGCTAGATATGATTCCTGTATGTTACTGGCACGAATTTCTTGATATGATTTTCTTCTTCAAATGCATTCATGAGATGATAGTCATTTACGACCTACGACCTACTACCAACAATCCAGAATAGAGAAAGAGCTACAAGATCTGCTGATCCGAACTGTTTGATGTTTACAACAAAAAATGCAAGACCACAACATACCAGAAGTCATTCCTGACGAGATCAACGAGAGTGTGGAACATTTTACCAAAAGACTTGACAGATAAAAACACTACATTTAACGGATTTAAAAGCGGACTTCTCAAACACTATAAATCTGCCTTACGAAATGTTTACAACGCAGAGGATCCTCGAACTTGGAAATCTATATGTTTGTCTTGTAATACGTCTCGTAACCTGTCTTGTCCCATATCGTGCTGTTGTTAGTTTTTGGGGGAAGAAGCAGAATTCTCTGTCAGTCTGTGAGCTGTGTTTAAAACCAGCTTGAATATTAAACAACGATTAAAATATAAATATTCTGCATGGTACGAATTTAGTAAGCTTGAATATACAGAAATTTTTGTATAAGGAGAAATTGGTGGGGTATTCTGCTTTTAACCCCCGATATTTTAAAGTTTGTTTGTCTTGTATTGCGTAAAGGGTCGCTGTAATTGGCGAAAGCTGTAGCGTGTACCCAGCCATGTCAATGTATGTATCGTTTATGTTAATGTATGTATAGCAAGGGATTTTAAGTTGATTTGGCAAAGCCTAATAAATAAATAAAAAAAATGCAACAGTGTAAAAATGTATTAGACTATAGAATGACAAGTGTTGTATGGCAAATGCATGTTTAGCCAATCTGGGACACCTGATTTCGACATGTTCTGGGGGAGCATGGATCACCCTAGTAATGCCCCTAGTAATGCCCCCTAGTAATGCCCCCTAGTAATGCCCCCCTAGTAATGCCCCCTAGTAATGCCCCCTAGTAGTGCCCTTTTTTGGCATCTGTATTTACCTTTGGATCAGACCCTTTATGCATGTTATCTAAATTAGTTTTACTGTATGTTATATTTAAGATTCTCAGTGGACTGAAATAATTTTTTTCTGTAAAATATAGCATGACATCCAGTTTGACAACTTGTTAGTGTCACACAGTTGCATTGTCCGAGTCTTGATTTACTCATATGATTTACTTGATTATTTGCAGAAAATTTTCAATGTTCCTTTGCTGTCCCAGAAAGTAAAATATTTTTTCCATCCCTGGTGGTGGTGGTGTTTTCCTCATAGTAGCATTTAATTATCATATGCGTGATATTTGTTGTTGTGTTTTCAAACTCTTTATTTAACTCGCCGTTCACTTTTGTTCTCTAGCCTGCTGACCCCGGCAGAGTAGTAAACAAATTAAAGCAAGTCAGGGTAAGTGCACAAATCAATACTTTAATTACGCATTGCCTGCGGGCCAATAAGCATGGAGAATGAAATGTGATTAATTTTAGTCAAATTAATTAACATGTATAGAATACAATATGTATGATTTCTTTTTAGGGGTACCTGAGGCAAGCTACCTCTCTTTACATCACCTTGAGTAGTAAATCTACCTCGCCTGATGAAGCAACAGTAAGTTCTTTCTCTCACTATATGCCTTCATGCCGACACACTACCATCTTAGCTTGCTCTCCAGACTTCTAGACCATGCATGATTTAACGTACTGCATGCCCATGACTGACTAATACTATAGAACTTGATTGGGTTACCTTGATTGAGTATGGCATCATAGCCAGCTGCTAAGACTTACTTGTCAATTTACATTTTGACATGATCTAAATAATTATACAGTATAATTTACAGATTTCCCCGGCCACGACTGTTAAGTTTTGAATCACTAGTTCAGTGCCTCCTTGGCAGTAAACTAAAGGAACATTTAACATCTTATAAGCGAGCCTGCCTTTCAACTTAAAGTTTCGAGAGGAATACCAGATTTATACACTGTATGTGCAGGTACGGTCAATCGTACATTAGCAGCAATGTCAACGTGAGCCAGTGAGGTTCCAGTAATGAAATCCAAGTACTGTACAGAACACCAACACAGGATTTGTTTCGCAAATTCGCACACGGATTTAGATACCTGCGAGGCAGGCTGTATGTGTCCTCCAACAAAACCTCTGTGTTTCGATCCAGTTTGAATTTTGGCTGAGGTTCAGTTAAAGTTTGTGTTTTGGTTTGGTCGAGGAAAGCATCAAGAAGCCTTCCTGCCCTTCCAAGTCATCCATGACTGCAGCACGTAGAATTGAGCTGTTTAATTATATATTGACGATACTTAATCTACTTTTCTAAAGGACGAGGATTTGGAACAATTGGAGAAACTGGCCAAATTAATTAGGGATCTTAAAGCTCAAGAAAAAGCTTACGTGGATTTCGTGCAGAGGAGCATTGTAAGTATTATCACCCTATGCATTGCAGGGCATATGAAAATCAAAACTTCGTTGTCTCTAGCGTGGGATTAAAACTCGCATCTTCAGACTCCTACAGCAGACCATGCACCGCCCTGTTAAATTAAGCTTAACATTTCTATAGCGCACATACATGTGGATAGGATCAAATGCGCTTTATATCTTACATATTACTGTTACCTAATATAACATACATACTTACAGTAGCCTAGACTATTTTAGACAATAATTGTGATCTTACTTTCTGAACTGTGTGTAGCCTAACCCACGTGAATCTTAACCCACCCTGTCAACTTTCCCTGTGGGAGGAAACCGGAGCACCTGAGAAAACCCACAACTTTCAGCAGAGCGTTGACGGACTTAATTCTGATTTAGAAAACCTTAGAAAATGGTTAATTGCTAATAAACTTAGCCTTAATGTAGCCAAAACCGAATTCATGTTAATTGGTTCAAAACAAAAGATCCCTAATTCTCTTCCGAATATTGTCACTGAAAATAAACAAATTAAACAAGTTTATGAATGCAAAACTCTTGGAGTAACAGTTGACCAGCATTTATCTTTGAAAAGTAATACAGAAAATATTTGCAAAAAAATAACAGCAGGAATCTCTGCCATCCGTCGAGTCAAACCTTTTGTTGACAAAGAAACACTTATTTCCATATATAACGCTATTGTTCGCCCATACTTCGATTTCTGCTGTGAAGTATGGGATGTGTTTGGCGAAACACAATCAAAACGACTTCAAAAACTTCAAAACAGAGCTGCTAGAATTATCTTGAATATGAGTAATGACGTAAATCATTCTATTGCTTTGTGTGAATTGGGTTGGGAACCACTCAAAACATTAAGGAAGAAAGCTAAAGCAAAAATGATGTACAAAGTATTAAATAAAATGGGTCCCAAATCACTCACAAATCTATTTTCTTATAAATGTGAGAAAACAAACTATCACCTTCGGGACATTTCAACTGGTCTTTGTTTACCAAAACCTCGTTCTAATAACATGAAAAATAGTTTCATGTACAACGGAGCTAAACTTTGGAATTCTATTCCAAAAGAAATTAGGGAAAGCAAATCACTTTCTTCCTTTCGAAATAAAATCGCTGCTCACATTTATGAATAAGTATTGTAAATAATGTGCCTGTAAATAGTCTGCCAACTTTCTCATTAGACATTAATATGTTACTATTTTAATACTCATTAATATGTTATTCTATATCTCTTAAAACTTTTGTAAATAGCTCTAACTATCACTTTCCTGTACATGTAAAAATCTTATTCAATTTTTTGGCACACGCCCCTCGTGGAAATCAGCTTCGGTTGACGGGGTCAGCGTGTATAAATAAAAGTTCTATCTATCTACCGGGTGTCCCAAAAAAAAGTACTCCGGTTTGATTTATAATAATTTCTAAACAAGTAAAGCTATCAAACAGAAATAACTTGCATTAAATAGAGGAAGGACTAACTTAGATTTTGATATATTACAGTTGCATTTTACTTAAAAATTCACGGAGATATTAATGTTCAAAATCGGGAGCATATTTTGGGATGTGTCTAAAATTAACGAAAATCGGCGTATCAAATTTTAACTCTTAATAACTCTTATTTAACTCTTAATTTAACCCTAATATCAGGGTAACTTGTATTTCAGCGAATTGTCGTTAGGGTTTGTAAGGGATATGGCGTAGATTTAGACATCTTACATGTAAGTCTTAACTCATTGTTTCCTGAAATATGAACGTTCGAAATTATGTAAGTATTTAATAGGTCTTTGCAAACTTAAGGTACTGAAAGACCATGCAAGGCAGGCGCTTCAATTTTTCTTAAATAACCTATTTTTTATGTTTTTCATGGGTTCAAAACAAAGTTGATTATTTCTCGGTTAGAGCAGGATGAATATTGTTCTTTAATGGAGGAAATAATATTGCTTTTTGCAAATACACATCACAGTATCAAAGCTACTATTTTGTTACGTTTTGTTCCAAAAATATTGGATGTCTCTGGCGAGTTGCTTGTTATGTCTTTACTTATGGAGTTGTATGGTTTGATTGTGTTTCATTCTAAGTTTATTCAGAATTTGCCAAGATTAAGAAAGGCAAAAGAGTTTGGGTGTTCTTAACAAGATTTCAGAACGTTGCAGAAGTTAGAAAATTCATTCAATGTGAAGTTAGAAAATTCACAATTCCATTGTGACAGCGTGCCCTAATTCAGAACTACGAACGATCCATGACGATTCTTCGCGATGCAGTGGTCTCATGAAATAAGGAAACGTATTCGTGCTAGGAACACACGCGAATTTCGGACGAATAAATCTTGCTTGTATTTTGTAGATAATAATACTTTGTTTCATAATAAACAATTTGTCAAGTGTCATTTATTTACAGGTAATAGTGCATGTTTCAGTTGGGTAAATCTTGATTAATATTTGATACGCTGTTTTTGGCATATTTCAGACACATCCAGAAATATGCTCCCGATTTTAAACATTAATATCTCCGTGAATTTTTAAGTGAAATACAACTGTAATATATCAAAATCTAAGTTAGCCCTTCCTCTATTTGATGCAAGTTATTTCTCTTTAAAAGCTTTACTTGTTTAGAAGTTATTTCGAATCAAACTGGAGTACTTTTTTTTGGGACACCCGGTACTCTTTTCACATGAGTCCACAGCGAGAATCGAACTCACGTTCTCAAAGTTGAAAGGCGCTTGCTCTGATGACTACGCCTGCACCTAAGCCCCATACTGCGATTCGACGGGTAGATTTTATAACAAACGTACTTGCAGGGAGGTGAGTCCGGGATTGGACGCACCGAGGGTGGCTGGAAGTTTCCCTATTTTTAGTTGATGATGTCGACAGATGAATTTCTCTACCTTTCAATTATCATTAAAGTGCATCTGAAATCGCAGCGTATAAACGTATACTATAAATGCACGGATGGTTTTTTCTGTCGACTTAACAATTGTCTTGCGTAACAACCACTTGTTTATTCTATGCACATGCTTGCAAGTATCGTGTGTGAATTCAAAATCTCGTATGAATAGTGCACTTCCCCCAGAAGGCACTTTTTGTTCTGAAAAGTTTTATACAAGGCTTTTGCCTTTTGGTTTTGAGTTTACGTTTATGCATCCATAGTTAATATAAGAGATGGTTTGGAAACTCATTAGAATAACAATATACTGTAACTCATTATCTATGTTAGTCGACGTTTATTTATAAATCTAGTCCTTCACTGTCATGTGCGTATTGTATTGTTGCCCAACTAACCAATAGCAATGCTTTAGTAAAATTACCTATCCGTGATTCGAACAATAGGGTAGATTTTGCAAAAATACAATACACACGTGACGGTGAAGGACCATATTTAAGAATAAACATTGACTAACATAGATAATGAGTTATATTATTATTCTTTATTAATGAGTTTCCGAACCAGCTATTCTATTAACTATGATGCATCTTACTATTTTACGGCAAACCTAATAAATACAGTACTAATTATAATATATCACGTCTGGCCTTAATACAATGATATAGTATTAGATGCATACCAGAAAATTGAGATGGATAGGGATTTAATGAAAAATAAGTAAAACGTCGACGTTTTGAGCGAAGGCCCTTCCTCGGGAAGTTAGTAGAAGGGCTTTCGTTCGAAATGTCGAAATTTTGCTTGTATTTTTCAGGTAGTGTTTCTGGTACTACCTACACTGGCACAGATCATTCGTATTAGATAAATACCACTTTTTATAGTTGCTCATGCATACAGGTACTTTGTTATACGATTCAGAACTGATGAGCATATGTACTAAATCCATACTGTTCATTCGTAGGTTGGCTATGGAGAGTCGTCAATCGATAACACACCATCAACAAGTGTTGTTTCACTTGATGGCGATACCCAGGTAACTTTGTCACATAGTTAAATATAATGTTAACTCGAGAAGTAACCAAGCCGGTTAATACGGTAGCTAGGTAATCTTCCTAGTTCGAGATATCGTCACATCAGCGAGGTAATCTTCAGTTACGCTGTTGCGGTATATATTAGAAAATTTCGATATATCGATATCGAAAAATAAATATCGACTATATCGAAAATATGCAAATTAGCAAAATTACGAAATGTAGTTTAGTCGATATACCGCATCACAAAGAGCGAAATAAATGTATACAATAAAAAAATCAAATATCAATTAAAAAAAATAAAAAATAAAAATCGATAATTTTAGAATTTCGATAATTATCGACTATATCGATATACCGCAACAGCCTAGATCTTCCATTAGCTCACCAAGTGCATGTACCTGAGTAGTCGTGAATTGTAGTCGTTTTTACCACCTTTTTGTCAGCTGGGCTAACAGATTACTATCTAATATAATTCTTTCAAGATTCCCTTAATAAAGATGTGTTGGGGTCCATCATGCACTTTTTACAATATAAATATTTTGGTAGAATTGTTTTCTAAATGAAACAGTTTCCAAATTGCACAACTAAATCCATAGTATATATATCCATACCATTTCGATACTATATCCATAGTATGGAAGTACAATTATTGATAATCAAAATCCATTCTATTTCTAATGAAGGTCCATACAATTTCCATTTTATGGTTTTTCAAATTTTTCCAGTGTATATGGAAACATTTCTCCTTCAATGGACATGCATCAATGATAATATATTGCAATATTGTTTCTCATATTTTATAAGAACCCGCATTTCTATAAAATGGGGAGCAGTACATGCGTATTTCATAAACTAGACATCTACTGTATATTTCATACTCATATTTTTCAGGACGAGGCTGCATCTGAACAGAGTGAAGACTTGGAAGGATTACGACAACAGCATACTTTATTGCGACAAATGGTTGAGCAACAGAAACAGGTGAAAATTATTACTATTAAAACTATAGAGAAATTCAAAATTCCAATGGCAATGCCTGCATGTCAATTAAATAATACCAAACTCTAAAATATACTACCAAACTATCAGCCACTGTATATTCAGTTTGTACTGCAAGCCGCTCTAAATAATACCAAAGCGTCACTGTATATTGTATCCTGTATTACAAACAAAGTTTCTAGACCAACTGATCAAGTAAAAAATTCAAGTATTATAATTTCATAAGATTAAATAAGGTCAGTCATGACTTGTACTTTGTTGGGTGTGCTAAGATTCACTGAGATTGCTTTCAGTTCACAAATTTCCATAACGCATGATACTGTCACTCAAAACTTAGATAACTGTAATAAAGCAGAACATTTACCCTATAAAATTTCCTGAAAACTTCGTTGAATACCTCTGCCTAGTACTGACAGCGAGGAAATCACATTATACTGTACAGTAATATACTCAGGTGTCTTGTGCAAATTGTGTACTGAAATCGCTAATTTTGCTTTGTGGTTGGCGTGGTTCGATCAAAGAATCGCCTCGTTGAACTAGAGGCTTAATTCACAGCGTTTCAAATTACTATGCAGAAACTCTAGCTAGAAAACTCCCTTGAAGCCTCTGGAATCCAGGGTAAGGGAATATTCACGGTGTAAATTACATTGCCAAATACTATAACGTTCGTTTTAATACAGTTGAAGGAACTCCAAGACAGACAAAATGCTTTGCTAGATCTGCAGCGTCGTGCTGAAAATCAGTTAAAAGAAGCTGAAGCAGAGGTACTTTATAGTTAATATTCATCGCCGCAGAATGTGCATTTAACGTACAGTTAAAATATCCCTAGTTTTGTTTATCCGTATTCACCATACTGTAGTTTCACCGTTTCATTAAAATTGTGTATTAATTTATGGTTGCATGCTTGTTAATTTTAACTTGCTTATCGATTTTTCTTTCCTGAATATTTTCTCTTGTTTCTAGGGAAGGCGTATTTCAAGTCTGATGACGAATGGGCAAGCGATCGATAATGGGAGTGTTAGTGATAGGAGTAGAAGTGGCACTGAGAGATCAGATGAGTCCCGTTCTTCCCAGGTAATTTACTGTTGAAAATACGATTAAAATCATTGAGTATACCATAGATGTTTATTGTGTAGAAAGAAATGAAGAAAAGAAAGGACGGGAGGAAAGAACGTGAGAGTGAGGGAATGTGAAAACAAGGAAGGGAAGTTGTGCGGGATAATAAACCACTTTCATATTCAGAAATGAGGTGGACTTAAATATTCTTTATGTGCATCTGAATAAACCTTCGTTCTCTCCTTTACGTTCAATAATACTAGTCAATTTCAGTCACAGAAACGAGTCCAAGAGGGCTTGTCGATGCGAATCTGCGATATGCTCGCTCGACACCGGCAGGGATGAACCAAATTAAACAACACTTTGTACTCGTTTATATTATACTTATTACCGTTATACTTTAATCGTTTATAACATAGTACGGTACAAAAACGTTGTATCTATAGTACAAGATCGGTAGAATTAAGCTAAGTTGTTCGTTCAATGTACGTTAATCGCTAATGAAGTTCTCGTCTAGACGACCTTGCAGTTAAATATTAGCGGTTTGTTATATGAATATATTACATGACACAAACAAGTTAGAATTGAAAGGCGAATATGCAAATAGTCTCCTAAATTTGAATAAGTATCTATAACTATCTTAAATTAAACATAAACAATAAGCTATATATTTTTGGCACTAACATTAGGCTCCCCTATAAGAGGATATCCTGCTCTTATACTCAATATAATTCCAGTTAGTGCATTTTTCTATTATCTAAAAACTGTCCGTTCTTCTCCAAATATAAAAAAGTGTCTACAAATAAATTACTATTATAGGTAAAAAAAACAATTAATGAAATCTACTTAATGTTTTGTCCATCTAAAGTTTCGTCGTTTTCCATCAACAGTACCAGTTTATCAATTGGACGTTCTTGGGTGGAAAATGATAACTTGAGCGTCGCTGAACGAACGAATCCTTTCGAATCTTGCCTTACGTTGACCACTCGTGCCATAGGCCAATCATTTCTTGCGGTGTTTTCATCTTTAATAAGAACAATGTCTCCAATCTCGATGTTTCTTTTAGGCTGATTCCACTTCGTTCTCGCTTGTAAGGTTTGCAAATATTCTCTTTTCCATCTTGTCCAAAATATGTTCGCCATGTATTGGACTCTTCTCCATCTCTTTCGAAGATAAACATCTTCCTTTTGAAAATCACCGGGGGGAGGCATAACCACTTTAGATTTCATGGTCAGAATGTGATTGGGTGTCAAAGGTTGGAGATCTGTGGCATCACCGGATGGGAAGGTTAACGGCCGGCTATTAACAATACATTCCACTTCGGTCATTAAAGTGCGTAAGGATTCATCATTCAGGGCGTGTCCGTAATCGCGTAGAAGAGAAGACAAAATCGATCGAACTGTACGGATCTGCCTCTCCCATACTCCTCCCATATGCGAAGCGGCTGGTGGATTTCGGTTCCAATTGATCAACCAATCTGCGTTGAACTCTTTTGAGGAAATTTCCTGTAGTCGTTTATGGTCCATTTCTTCTAACGCTGACTTGAGTTCCCTTTCAGCACCGATAAAGTTGGTTCCACGATCTGATCTCATTTGACGTACAGGTCCACGTCTGGCGACGAATCTTCTTAAGGCACATATGAACGAATCACTCTCTAGAGAAATCGCTGTTTGAAGGTGGATCGCCCTGCTGGCCAGGCATGTGAACAATACACCATATCTCTTCAACTGCTTACGGCCTTCTTTCACGAAATACGGGCCAAAGTAGTCCACAGCGCAGTAAGTAAATGGCGGTGCTGGTGAGACACGATCTTTGGGTAAATCGGCCATCATTTGCTCACCGACGACGGCACGCAATCTTCGACACCTAACGCACTTCGATATATAATGTCTAACTGCCGAGTTTGCATTTGTTATCCAATATTTGCTTCGGAGCTCGTTTAGGGTATTTCCTCTTCCCGCATGTGCAACCTTTTCGTGGCTGTGACGGATAACCAAAGTCGTGATATGGCTTTTCTTCGGTAATATTACAGGATGCATAAGATCTTCGGGCAAGCTTCTTGATTTGCTTAATCTTCCTCCGACACGTAACAGTCCGTTTCTATCGATGAACGGGTCCAGTCGAAACAAGGAACTAATCGTTTTGACTTTTTTCTTTTCACTTCTAATCTTCGCTCTTGGATCGCTGTGGTTCTCAGCTAATACTTCTTTAAGGGCAGCGATTTCATCGGAAAAAGAATAATTTTGAGCCAATTTCAGGATTACTATTTCAGCCTTTTCCATTTCGTCAACTGTAATTGGTCTAGGTTTCTGTTCTGAAATCTTCTTAGCATTGTTCCTAGTCATTGGAATTGCTTGCTCGTATTTTGGCTTAAGTGACCGTAGCAACCACGCAACGACTTTCTTCACACGCGACCACTGCGAGAAGTATTCCAAACGCTTCAGCAAGTCATTTTGTTCAATTATCGTTGAATGTGCAGTTTTGATCTCTAGGTCGTAATCGCCGATTTCCTTAACTGTTTCGGGATATTCTGGCCACTCGATCTCTGGTCTCCATAAGAATTCTGGTCCTCTTATCCACCGCTGCTGTTCGAGAAAACTGTGAATTTCCATACCGCGTGAGGCGTCATCGGCTGGATTTTCCTTGGTATCCACATATCTCCATTGATTCACATCAGTTCGATCTCTGATAGCTTGAACTCGATTGGCGACGTATGTATGAAGACGGGCTTTATCGTTATTGATATACTTTATGACTGTCGTGCTGTCTGTCCAATATGTCTCTTTCTCCGGTAAGTCCAATTCTTCTTTAAGCATTGTTCCGAGTTTGGCAGATAATACAGCAGCCGTAAGCTCCAGGCGTGGTATGGTTACTGCTTTCAACGGGGTAAGACGAGATTTTCCCATGAGAAAAGCACAGTGAATATCTCCTCTGTCGTTAACTTGTCGCAGATACGAGACTTGACCGTAACCTGTGAAACTTGCGTCGGAGAAGCTGTGAATCTGTCTACTCACTGACGTTCCGAAATCCAGGGGTTTGAGGCATCGAGCTAAAACAAACCGTTCCAATGTAGGAAGTTCGTTTCTCCATCTTTCCCAACGAGCACGGTATTCTTGAGGTAGGGTATCATCCCAATCGACTTTATCCCTGCAGAGCTCTTGAAGAATTTTCTTGCCAGGCAATAGAATCGGTGCCGCCATTCCGATTGGATCATAAATCGAACTGATAGTTGATAAAACACCTCGACGAGTCAGTGGTTTATCTTTCAAGACAATCTTGAATCCCAGTTCATCTGATTCGACGAACCATTGCACCCCAAGAGCACGTTCTATTGGCAAATGATCGTAGCTCAGATCCAGGCTTTTAAGTTCCTTAGATCGTTCTTCTTCTGGTATTGTTTCCAGTACGCGACGTTTGTTGCTCGTAAACTTGGTGGGACAGAAGCCGCCCTGAGCACACATTCGGTTAACACTGTTGATTCGCTCAGCTGCCAGTTCTTCAGTTTTTTCAGATCTCAAACAATCGTCCACATAGAAATTTTTTCTTAAGACGTTGGCAGTTTCGCTGCCTTCTTCTTCTTCGAACTCATCTGCTGTTCTTCTCAGTGCATAATTCGAGCAGCTCGGCGAGGAAATTGCACCAAATAAATGTACGTTCATCTGAAACTCTGTTAAGTCCTGCGACAAATCACCGTTTGGCCACCACAAAAAACGAAGAAAGGTTTTATGTTCTTCTTTCACACGAACTTGGTAAAACATGCTTTCAATGTCGGCCATAAATGCGGAATGCTCTTCTCGAAATCTCGTGAGAACACCAATCAAGGAATTCGTCAGGTCTGGGCCCTGGAGTAGCTGCTCATTCAAAGAAGTCCCTCGAAATCGGGCGCTGCAATCAAATACCACGCGAATTTTATCTGGCTTCTTTGCGTGGTATACTCCGTGATGAGGTAAGTACCAAACTTTTCCCTCTTCCGGAATACGATATTCATCTGGCACTCTTCGAGCATAACCCTTTTGGAAAATGTCATTCATGAACTTTGTGTAATCCTGACAAAATTTAGTGTTCTTAGTTAACTTCTTCTTCAGCCAGTTAGCTCTTAGGATAACTTGTTCTTTATTCGAAGGCATATGTACATTATCATCACGGAAGGGAAGTGGAATTACGTAATGGCCATTCACATACTCTGTATCTCGCTGAATCTTTTCCATGAATCTCTTGTCTTCTTGGGAATACTGTTCCTTTTGGCAATGTCTTTCGTTGAACTCGAGTTCGAACATTTTGTTCAATGATTCAGGCGTCACCAACTCTTTGACGGATTCTTCAACCATGAAATGATGTTCGGAGGGCTTGTCTGATCCTATCTCTTGAACAACTATTCTGTGGCAGTCGACTTCGTTCTCGTTGTCAGACAGATAAAGTGGTCCAACTATAGTCCAACCCGCAAAAGTTAGAACTGCAAAGGGGCCTCCGTTGTTGCTGGCGACAAAATCTCTGGGTTCAATAGCCTGTGGACAGTTTGTTCCTATGAGAAGACCAATCTTAACGTTTTCCATATACGGGTGAACTTGCTCGACGACACGCTCCAGGTGTTTCCATTTACGACACAATTCTTGACGTGGTATTTCACTCTTGCGTCCAGGGATTTCATCTCGGGAGAAAACCTTTGGGAGGGTGATTGAACTGGCACCATCTAAGTCAGAAACTACGAGACCATTCACTACCTTGGTATCATGCATTTTTGGACCATTCATAGTTCGAATCATCACTTTAGTGTCCGTTCCATTTACTTCGAGTCGTTTAACTGCATCTTCTGAAATGAAAGTACCGGTACTACAAGAATCCAGCATGGCGTAGGTAATAATTTCTTTGTCGTTACTTCGTAGTCTAACTGGAACTATAGGCATTGATTCAATAGAGAATTTCACGTTGCTAGCATCACAAACAACCTCATGAGCGGCAGCATAAGAGCAGCTTTTTCGCTGATTGTCAGAGTTACTATCCTCAGTTCTGTCAATATCCTTTGGTGGTTTGTTGGAATTCTTGTTCTTCATGCGAAAGTTCTCATCATGCAATCCTGTGGGATGTCGGCCTGAACAAGTTTTACAAGAACGTCTCTGGATACATCCACGGGATCTATGTCCAGAACCGTAACAAGCGTAACACAATCCTCTTTTAGCTATCAAAGCCCTTCTTTCAGATAACGATTTCTTCAAGTACACCTTACACTCGTCTAAGTCGTGCAAGCCGTTGCAAGCGATGCATGAATTGGGCGATTCTTCTTTCATCATTGTTGCATTACTTGTAAACTTCGAAGTCGATCCTCTCTTGAATTTACTCTTGTCATCTTGACCAATCTTGTCTAGTGCTTGTCTTGAGAAGATCGGATCGGTCGCTATCTTTGCTTCTGTTTTGACAAAATTGACAAAGTGTTTAAAGGCAGGGTTTTTGCCTTTTTCTCTAAGCTTCGTTACTTCTCTACGCCAACGTTCTTGTTGATAAAAGGGAAGTTTCTTCACCAAACATTGCAAGTTATTAGGGTGGTCCAAAGTCACGAGATATGATAAAGATTCCATGGCGCTCAGGCATTGTGTCAAAAAGATCGCCAATTTTTCCAAGGCGTTGTCGTCTCCTGGTCTTAAGGTGGGCCAATCGTTCACTTTCTTCAGGTATGCATTTGACACCTTATATGGGTCTCCATACTTCTCGTTCAATAACTTCATGGCTTCAACGTAGCCTGCATCAGGTTCCATATAATGACATCCTTTTATAAGGTCTTTAGGTTCTCCATCCAGATATTGTTGTAGATATTGCATACGGGCTCCACTTGATTTGACGTTTCTTTCAACTCGCATCCCGAATGTACGTATAAAAAGGTGATACTCTGTTGGATCGCCTTTGAAACTGGACAGGGAAAGTGAGGGCAAGAAATTCTGTTGATGTTGTTCAGAGAGCATTTCTGTCAGTCGATTCTGTTTTTCCAGTAAGTATATTAAGGGGTCGTTATCCAAAGTAACTCTGTTTCTGTATTCACTTGGTGGTGGTTTCCACTCATGTGCATAGTCTGTAAAAGGTTGTTGAGCTGTCAGACGAGGTGATGGGGTGGTGTCTTTGATATGCGGTGACGAGTATTGTGGCAATCTAACTGGAGTTTGATGGGCTCTTCTTGAATGAAACGCGGAGACAGGAGTTGGTTGGGGAATGTTCGTTGAAGAAAACTGCGGAGTGGGTATATTCTTCGTTAATTGATCGTGTAATAAGTTCTCTTTCGGCACCGGACGAGTATCCTCTAGATATTCATTCATCCCATCGGTTGTAGCTTCCCGCTTTGACTCAATGTCGTTTTGAATAAAGGCTTGTTCTCGAGCTTGAGCAATAGCAAGTTCTTCTTGTAATCGTAATTTTTCCGACTCATTCTCAAGTGCTTGTTTTTTCTCTAACAACGCGGCTTTTGCTCTTAACTCGGCGACCTTTGCCCTTTCTCTAGCTCTGCCCGACGTACTCGAATGTCTTGAACCGGCCGATCGACGAGACTCGATTGAGGATTTCAAGGCGCTTGACTTGTCATCCATTTGTTCTTCTATTTTGTATTTAGCCACGGCAATCCAATCGAATATTTTGACTTTACAATTATTCATTATTCGAAAATGTTCGTCATACCAATCAGTCACCGGAACGAGCTCTTGTCCCGATAATAAATCACGCCACGCTTCATAAGCTGCTTGAAATTCAACAAGTTGTTGACTGAATACTTCTAAATCGTTTTGAACTTCGTGCACGTTGTCCCACTCGGTTATGGAGCTTTCTATCGTCTTCATTATTTTGGTTATTCGCTTCTGTATGGATTTACAATGTTCTTTCTTCCTCTCGATTTGATATGCCCGTCCTTTGTCTGTTTGTTTTTTGAACCGTCTATTTACACGAACGCTAATATCATCATTTCCCAGCGGCGTTAACTCCAGATCTAAATCCATGTCGCTTAGTTCGCTTACTAAGCTATCAGCTTTCGTTGACATACTTCGGTTGTAACGTTTTTGTACTAATGTCGATGCGAATCTTCGATATGCTCGCTTGACACCGGCAGGGATGAACCAAATTAAACAACACTTTGTACTCGTTTATATTATACTTATTTCCATTATACTTTTATCGTTTATAACATAGTACGGTACAAAAACGTTGTAACTATAGTACAAGATCGGTAGAATTAAGCTAAGTTGTTCGTTCAATGTACGTTAATCGCTAATGAAGTTCTCGTCTAGACGACCTTGCAGTTAAATATTAGCGGTATGTTATATGAATATATTACATGACACAAACAAGTTAGAATTGAAAGGCGAATATGCAAATAGTCTCCTAAATTTGAATAAGTATCTATAACTATCTTAAATTAAACATAAACAATAAGCTATATATTTTTGGCACTAACAGACAGTCATACGCAAAAACTAAAAAATATATGTGTATTGTATCAACTTGATGAGCCAACGAGGGTGACTAAGTCTTCAGCAACACAGATTGACCTAATTCTGGCCAATAATCCCGAAAGCATCTCCAATCATGGTGTAATGGAAATTCGGATTTCAGATCATAGTTTGATTTATGGTGTTAAAAAACTAGTTCCTTTAAAAGGACAGAGAACATGTAGATGAGCTTCGAAATTTTAAAAACTTTAATGAAAGGTTATTTTTTCACGATTTGTCTAGGATCCCCTGGGATTATGTCAATCAATTTAATAACCCGAATGATAGCTGGCAAGTCTGGAAGTCCTTCTTTATAGAAATACTTGATAGACACGCGCCAATTCTGAGGAAGTTTATTAAAACTAAAAAAATTCCATGGCTAAATGCCTCTATTAAGCAACTAATGAGGCAAAGAGATTTTCATAAAATGATGTTTAAAAAAATCAATTCTGAGATGCATTGGGTAAAATTTAAAACCATTAGAAATAAAATTAATGCTGAAATTAAAAATCTTAAAGCTAACTATTTCAATACTAAAATATCTGAGTGTCTTCAGCATAAGAACGTAAAAAAAGTTGGTCCTTGATTAATAACCTACTTGGGAAAAATTCAAAATCAACCATTATCAATGAAATTAGGACTGATAGTAATGTAATTCTTACAGATAGAAACCTGATTGCAAACAAATTAAATGATTATTTGGTTAATATTGGTCCCTCGCTTGCACTCGTGGTGGAAGAAAATCATCATACCTCTGCTTGTGTGACAAATCGTTTTTTTTTAGAATGTAACACAAATTTTTGTTTTTCTGATATAAGTGTTCATGAAGTCCTAAACAATTTAAAACAACTAGTAACATCTAAAGCTACTGGCGTAGACAAAATTCCAGCAAAAGTTCTTAAATTATCTGCAGATATAACTGCACCATCTCTGACAACAATCTTTAACCAATCACTACATACTGGCATATTTGTCAATGAATGGAAATTAGCACGTGTGAAACCGATTTATAAATCTGAGGATAGAAGCAAATGTGAGAATTACCGTCAAATTTCTATTCTCCCAGTTGTAAGTAAAATCTTTGAAAAAGAAATTTTTCAGCAATTATATAGTTATTTATCTGCAAACTCACTAATTTCAAAGTTTCAATCTGGATTTCGACCTAAACATTCATCTCTAACCTTACTTCTCCAGATGTGCGATGAATGGCTAAAAAATATGGATGAGGGTAAAATAACTGGTCTTGTTTCTCTGGATATCAAGAAAGCATTTGATTCAATTAACCATCAAATTTTAATGTCAAAAATGAAAGACCAGTTTGGTATTCGTGAAAATGAATTGAATTGGTTTACCTCTTACTTGACTGATCGTCAGCAAGTTTGCTGTGTAAATGACCATATATCCTCTTGGAAATCCATAGAAAGTGGTGTGCCGCAGGGGTCCATTCTCGGTCCTTTGATGTTTTTATTATATATTAATGATTTGCCGCAATATTTAAAATTTACAACTCCGGGTTTATATGCTGATGATACGCAGATATTTGCCTCGTCTGATAATTATGATGAACTGGTGGAACTATTAAATTCTGATTTGAAAAATATTAGTAGATGGCTCTCGGATAACAAACTGCAACACCATACTACTAAAACTAAGCTAATGTTCATAGGCTCCCGGTACAATATCAAAAATAAAATTGGAGATAAATTAGTGACCTTTAAGAATAAACCATTAAAACGGTACAGATCTTTTAAATGTTTAGGAGTTGAGTTGGATGAACACCTTAGTTGGGAAGTTCACATTAATGCAATCTGTAAAAAGGTTGGTGCAGGGATAGGAGTTTTAAAACGAACAAAACCATTCGTCCCCAATGAAACCCTGCACATCATCTATAAGGCGTTAATTCTGCCATACTTTGATTATTGCTCCCCTTTGTGGGATAATTGCGGAATTGTACTAAAAGAAAAACTACAGAGATTCCAAAATAGAGCTGCAAGGGTGTTGACGGGAGTAAGTTATGATACCAACTCCCTGAGCTCCTTGAACGGCTTAACTGGAAAAATCTTGAAAACAGATTTAGATTTAATAAAGTGGTTCTGGTATACAACATTCTTAATAATGGTACTGCCCCTTGTCTTCGAGAATTCTTTTCTGCACGAAGCAATAATGATAATGACTATCATCTCAGAAATTATGATACAGATCTCTCACTTCCAAAACCTAAGAAAGAATTTCTTAAAAGAAGCTTTAGGTATAGTGGAGCTGTATTGTGGAGTAGTCTTTTTGCTGAGGCATTCGATTCATTATTTCAAAAGACTTATTTGAATCTTGCTTTTAAATGCTATTCCATTTGTAACTACACATTATGTTCTGGGTAATATTCTCTTTGGGTCTTTGGGTTGATTAGTTTTTTCTTTATTTTTATATACTTGTAAATAGCTAAATAGACGCCCCTCATGAAAACCAGCCGTATAGCTGATGAGGATAGCGTCTCTAAAGAAATTAATTTCAAAAAACTTATTTGAATCTTGCTTTTAAATGCTATTCCATTCGTAACTACACATTATGTTCTGGGTAATATTCTCTTTGGGTCTGTGGGTTGATTACTTTTTTTCTTTATTTTTATATACTTGTAAATAGCTAAATAGACGCCCCTCATGAAAACCAGCCGTATAGCTGATGAGGATAGCGTCTCTAAAGAAATTAAATTAAATACAAATACATAATATATAAGAACTCACAAAGTGCAGTAACCTTTTTATAAATAAACCTTTTTAAAAGCATGTCATTGTCATTGCAGTCCAGAGCCAGAGGCAAAAAGCACAGCCACATAGGTATCAGATTTATTAAGCAATCGTGAGATTATATACATGGAAAGAATATGGAAATTATGCTAAAAGCACCCCTTATAATGACGAAAGCACCACGTATAATGCTCGAACCACTGCGTATAATAGCGAAACCACCGCTTATAACGCTCAAACCACTGCGTATCGACAAAATGCCGTTTGATCACTTACGCCAGCTATCACTTTCCATAAAAGAAAACCAAAGATGAAAGATGATCACATTGCTTGTTTGCCATATGCCTGTTTATTAGGCAAGAATAGCCTGCCGGCCCGCCACCAGTGCATTGTGGTAGGCCAAAATACGCCGAAACGATCGAGATTTCATCTGCCTTATATATATATATATATATATATATATATATATATATATATATATATATATATATATATATATATATATATATATATATATACATATACATAAAGATTAAAAAGAATAAAATAGACTAAAATATCATAGGAAAAAAACAAAAGTCATGTTTATTGGATCTACGCATAATCTAAATCATAAAATAGGAAATAGACTCGTTGAGATTAACAAAATCCCAGTCCCACAAACCAATACATTTAAATGTCTAGGTGTAAATCTAGATGAAAAATTAAGTTGGGAGAAACATATTGATTCTGTATGCCATAAGATTAGGGCTGGAATAGGAGGAATTAAAAGAATAAAACCTTATGTTCCACACAAAACCTTACCTGATGTCTACAAAACATTAATTCAGCCTCATTTTGATTACTGTTCTCCCCTGTGGGATAACTGTGGTTTGGGACTTCAAGACAAATTGCAAAAATTCCAAAATCGAGCAGCAAGGGTGATTACCGGAGCTGACTACGATGTAAGATCGTCTGAAGTCCTAGACAAATTTGGCTGGGAAACCCTGGCTAGGAGACGAGAACAAAACAAGCTAGTATTGATGTATAAAGTCTTGGGGAACCACACTGCGCCAAACCTTAAAGATCTCTTTTCTCGGAGAAATGCATCGCAGAATATTTATGATTTACGCAATAGCGAAACTGATCTCTCGTTAAAAAAAAACGAAAACGGAATTTCTAAAGAAAACATTTGGATACAGTGGAGCAATTCTATGGAATAGTCTCCCGCAAGATGTCAAGGCGGCGGAGTCAATTACGTCATTTAAAACAATGGCGAAATTGCATTTAAGCAGATAATAAGCTAATTTCTCCAGGACCAAATGATGGGAGGACAATATAGATTGTGGGCGGGAGGGGGGTTAGTTTTGCGTGAGGGTGGGTGGGTACTTGTTTAGGGGGTGGAGGTTTGGGAGGAAGATGATAAAATTTTAGGGTGGGATTCTTACATATTTTGTTCTATATATAATTAACATTTAGCTCTTTGTGTGTATACGCCCTTCGTGGAAACCAGTTGTAAATAATTGTCGAAGTTAGCGTATTGAAATAAAGTTTTACATACATACATTACATACAGATTAGGATTGCTGCCTCGCTCGCTCGCTTCACGCTCGCTCGCTACGGCAGCAATGAAATCCAATAGCAAAAACTTGTGTTATATAATTTACCTGTACGTCATAAGAATGCTTTGTAATTTGTATTTATTGCTGCCGTAGCGAGCGAGCGGGAAGCGAGCGAGCGAGGCAGCAGCCCTAATCTTTGTATATATATATATATATATATATATATATATATATATATATATATATATATATATATATATATATATATATA